ACTCAGAGGTTGAACTTCTTCATCTATCGCTCAGCCCTCGTCGTCTCCTTCCTGCTGTCTCTAACAGCAGGTCAGTGAGTTCTTGTGCAGCTGATGAAGATGAAGGTCTGAAGGTGAACTGACTCAGCTGATGGTCTGTTGGCAGGTTTGTTTTTAACCAGTTGGAGGACAAAACGAGTCCAGGAGGAAGAACCAGCAGCTGCTGAGGACAAAGAAATGTTGCAGACTGAAGGTGAACCACCTGCTGCTAGTTAGTTACATTAACTAACCAGTTATTGTCAGGCTGAAGGAGATCTACCTGCTGCTAGTTAGTTACATTAACTAACCTGTTACTGTCAGACTGAAAGTGAACTACCTGCTGCTAGTCGGTTACATTAACTAACCAGTTACTGTCAGACTGAAGGTGAACCACCTGCTGCTAGTTAGTTACATTCACTAACCAGTTACTGTCAGACTGAAGGTGAACTACCTGCTGCTAGACAGTTACATTGACTAACCAGTTACCATCAAAATGAAGGTGAAAACCCATTGGTAATTAGTAAGATAAGCTAACCAGTTACGGTCACACTGAGGGTGAACCAAACACTGCTAGTTAGTTGTATAAACTAACCAGTTACCGTCAGACTGCAGGTGAATAACCACTGCTAGACAGTTACATTAACTAACCAGTTACCATCAAACTGAAGGTGAAAACCCATTGGTAATTAGTAACATAAGCTAACCAGTTACTGTCACACTGAGGGTGAACCAAACACTGCTAGTTAGTTGTATAAACTAACCAGTTACCGTCAGACTGAGGGTGAACTATCCTCTGCTTATTAGGTACATTAACTAACCAGTTACTGTGAGGCTGAGGGTAAACCATCAGCTGCTAGTTAGCTACATTAACTAACCACTTACTTCAAGACTTAAGGTGAACTACCTACTGCTAGTTAGTTACATTAACTAACCAGTTACTGTCAGACTGAGGGTGAACTACTTGCTGATAGTTAGTTACATCAACTAAACAGTTATTGTCAGACCGAAGGTGAACTACCTTCTGCTAGTTACATTAACTAACCAGTAACTGTCAGGCTGAAGGCAAACTGCACTATGAGATTGAAACTAACTAATAATATACAGTAAGTATATACTGGATTTTTGACTTGAATTTAAATAACTTTATTTCTGTACAGCTGGCAAAATTGTGTAATAATTATCTGTGGTCTTTTGGTTGTGCAGTCTGATGGCTCTGGGTGTGAAGCTCTCCTGTGTGTCTGTGGAGTGACGTGCAGAGCTGGCATTATCCATAATGTCCAGTAATTTGTTCCAAGTCCTTATTTCTGTATCACCCCCGCCACTGTTTCAAGTTCCACTTCCACCACTGAACATCCCTTCTGATCTGTTAGCCCCCCAACACCCCCCACCAAAGAAGACAACACTGACAAACCCAGACTTCTATTCTGTATATTTTGTTTGTTTGAAATACCTCTGTAATTTTATACCAATTTTATTTACACAAGCACATTTACATTTACTTGATTTTGTGTTTTATTGACACTTTCCTAAACTTCTACTTGTCATTTTTATTTTTTATTGCATTTTACTTGTATTGTGCCTATTTCTTATTTCATATTTTCTTGGTGGTTTTAGTTGATCCCTGTTACTTCTGTACTAATTCAGATTTTTCCAGTGACGGACAAAAAGAGGACTGTTTTGTTCTCGAGCTAAATTAACATAAATATTTAAACATGATAAAACTCACTTTTATGTTAAAAAAAAAAAAAGTGCAGTGAAACTGTCTAAATGACGTGGGCTTATAATGTTCAAAGTCCCAGGCACACAGTGATACTCATAAACATTTTGAGTCGTTTTGCTGTTTAGCAGAAAATTGTAATATTCGTGACGTCATCACGCAAAGCGTTTCAGTGACGTCTCTGTTGTCATTTCGTTGTTGTTGCTACGTCCTACGTTTCAAGCTAATCTATTGATTAAAAAAAAAACATTCCGTTGTTTTTATTTTTATTTGTCTGGGCCGGACCCTGGTTCTGCTCCTTCTCATGGACCGACCGGAGATTTCACCGAAGTTTCAGCGGAACCGGGCCGCCGGCAGATAGCTAATCGAACCGGTTAGCAGCCAGGCTAACTGCGTAGCTAAGCTAGCTGCTGCAGCATCTCACAGCTGGAGGTTGGTTGTACAAATTAAAACTGCACAAATAAAACCAAACACTCCGGGAGAGTGAGACCAAATACTTTAAATGAAGCAGGAAGGTCTTTTGGAAAATTCGGCGCCAAAATATTGTACCTTATTTTATTTTTATTAGAGAAACTAGCACTTTAATCCGGGCTGTTTACTTCAGTTTTACACCGTTTTTTTTTTTCCCCCAGTGGGGAAACATATTAAAAAATGAAAAACAAAAGAATAAAAACAGTATGCCGAATTCATAGTGACTTTTTTGTTTTTTTAGCGTAAAAACTATAAACGTGCCTTTTTTCACTTCTAAAAATACAAAGTCAATATTAGGTTCTTTTAAAATAATTTCATTGTATTTTCGTGTTTTTCAGCATTTTCAGTGGCTGTTATAGGAAATGATCATTTACGGCACGCTGCCAAGTCAGGTCAAACTGTTAACTTTTAATTCGGAGTAGGACTTTTCTTTTGATTCTGTAACAACACGCAGTTTTTATGACAACGGATAAAAACCGTACTTTTCTGAAGGGAGTTTGGTGCGGCGTTTTAATCGAGACAGCAGTCAAACAGGAGCACTGCTGTTACTTTTAACCTTTTTATTCGTGAGCAGTCTGGGCTGATGCGTTGACTTGTTCAGCGTCACGATACGTCAACATGTCCGCCATATTGGGAGGGGAAACAGACCAGGAAGCGTTGCAAGTGAACGAAGGAGTTAACAAGATTATAAGCAGTTTAAGTTCACTTTTCTAAAAAAAAATCATATCAATTAACATTATTGCTTCTGTATTAGCCTTAATAATTCCCAGTCTCCCTCCCTGAAGGCCCTTTTTTTTCCTTGTTTAGCAGTTCCTTCAGGTCAGTGGTGATCCAGGGAAGCATCTCGCTGTTTTGGCGGGGATGGTGCTGTTTACACATAAGTTTATATAGCGGTAATTGGTTGCATACTCAGTCATGACAATGATGTCCTCTCCGTGTGGCTGGTACAGTGCATCCCAGTCTGTAACCTCAAAACAATTTACACGTGATCAGAAATTAAAGTTGGAAATGCCACAATGTTTAAAAGCTGGCTAAGGTTCAAACCCCCGGCCTGGGAGCAGCTTCTGTAACCGCCTGGCACTCTAACCACCAACATTAGAGCTCCAGCCACGAAGCCTGAAGCCCCATGTAGCCAGTCCCAAGTAGATTTAAGCAGTGCATCGGCCCAGTCCTTGAATATCCTCCATCAGCTGCACAGACCTGCGCTCTGGTGGTCCTCTTTATAGTAAGAAACTGCATCTTGCAGTGTCATTGTTTCATATGGTTGTGCAGCTCTTGTTTTATGTGGACCTCCCCTCTCAGAAGCTATTTTGAGTTTCAAAAAGTGCTTTTTAAAATGAACTAGAGAAATTGCATTTCCTTTGAAAATGCAGTGTGAATGCTAATTCCAGAAGAACTTCCTGAAAAACAGCTGAAATTAGCTAAAAACATGCTGAAAGTTAGTAAAACAGCAGAACAGGCTTAAATTAGCAGAAGAGAGCAGAAAGAGCATGTTTGCTGAATTAGGTTGAAATAAGGAGAAACGAGTACAAAAATGAGGAAATTGGCTTAAAAAAAGGCTGAAATTAGCAAAACAATAGCTGAAAAGTAGTTGAAAAGGCAGAAAGAAACACAAACTACCAGAAGGAGGTGGAAAGAGCTGAAATGAACCCCAGAAAATGTGGAATTGGCGGAAAAGGCTAAAATTAGCATAAAACAGCTATATAGTAGCTGAAATAGCAGAAAAAAGATGAAACTAGCAGAAAAAAACTTAAAGGAGAATAACAAACTGAAAATAGCAGAAATAATTTAATTAGGCTGAAAGTAGCAGAAATTACCACAAAAAACCTGAGTTTATCGGAAACAGCTGAAATTAGCTAAAAATGCTAAAAAGTTAGCTGAAAATGTAGAACAAGCTTAAATCAGCAGAAGAAAGCAAAAAGAACACGTTTGCCCAATTAGGCTGAAAGAAGCAGAAATGAGCACAAAAAGTGGAAATTATCTAAAAAAGGTGAAATTAGCAACAAAACAACCCAGCCATAAAGTAGCTAAAAAGACAGAGAGAAGCTAAAATTACCAGAAGGAAGTGGAGAGAGCACGTTTTTACTGAATTAGGCTGAAAAAAGTTCAAATGAGTTAATGAAATGTGGAATTAGCTTCACAAGCTAAAAATAGCATAAAAACTGCTAAATACTAGTAGTAGCTGAAATTGCAGAAAAAGCTGAAACTTGCAGAGATTCGCTGAAAGGAGCAGAACAAGCTGAAATTAGCAGAAAGAAGTTAGAAGAGGCACAAAAATGTTGTAATTAGCAGAAAGAATCTGAAAGGAGCAGAAAACAGCTGAAAAAACGAGCTGTAATTAGCTGGAATAAAAGTTGAAATTTGCACAAGGAAGCTGAAAGAAGCCGAGCCAGAACAAAATGTGAACTTTAATGTTTACCAAGTTGAGTTAAAAACAAACTTGGCTGTTAGACTTTAATGAATACAAAGTGTCAATCAGTAACAGTCCCCTAAATCAGTTGTTCCCAACCCTGGTACTTGAGGAACACCGTCCTGCATGCTTTAGTTGTTTCCCTGCTCCAACACACCTGATTCAGTGATTCAATTACTTCTTGTTCTGCAGAAGCCTGTTAATTACCCAGTAATTAAAATCAGGTGTGTCGGAGCATAGAAACAACTAACACATGCAGGATGGTGTTCCTCAAGGACCAGGGTTGGGAACCCCTGAAATTATATGTGGGTTAAAAAAAATACCCCTTCCTAATGATGGCTTCCAAATGGACAGGGCAGAAAGCTGACAGTTTAGTGTGTTTTTATGTTTTGTTGCAGGATGGCGTCACCCTATAAGATCCCCAAGAAAAAACAGCCTTCAGGCTCTGACTCCGCCCACTTGCACATGCAGTCACCGCTGTCCCACCTCCATAACTCCACCTCTCAACTTAAGGTGATCTTACTGTGTTTACGCATCATGCAATCACCAGTCTCTTGTCTTTTAGCTAACCCGGTAATTGTTGTAAGGTGGTATTTGTGAGTTTTCAGTGTGTTCTGGTCCGAGCAGGGTTTCGGAGGTCCGTCCAGCAGAGGCAGCTCTGACAGAATGCATGCTGGGAACGCTCTGGGCTCATCCTCAGGTGGACTCAGGTCGGTGAGGTGCCCTCGTTCAGCATGTTTCAGCAGAGTTTTGGTTGAGTTGAGGACAAAATAAATTGTTTTGTCAAATCCTGCAGGCTGCCATTCAGAACTGTTGTCAAAACACTGCTGGGCATCCACAGTCCTAATGGAGGCGGAGCTTCAGGAGCCAATCATAGGTCAGCAGGAAGTAGGAGCAGCCAACCACAGCCAGAAAAGAGGAGGGAGTCGATGTCAAACGGGTGAGTGTTTTCACCAGATAACTTCTTATCATTATGTTATTTATTTATTTTTTACATTTTATAGATAAAATCTGAATTAATTTAAAATATAGTTGAATGTGTAGTACTTTAGATGTGCACATGTTAACAAAGTATTCATTAAATTATATTTAATTTTATTTTTGTAAAATGAAGTATATTTGATTTTAATATTTACAATACAATACAACTTTATTTATAAAGCACTTTAAAACAACACCGTTGGCCAAAGTGCTGTACACTAACACATACAAGCATAAAAACTATGAACTCAACAAATACCATAAAAGTAATGAACTACCAAATCATAAAACATCGAACAGTAACAACAATAAAATAAACAACATAAAACAGTAAAGCCAACATTTATAAATTGTCATGATACATTTTTAGAGCTTTTTCTTTTATTTATTTTTTTTAGCAAATTTTTCATATTTAAAATGCGATCAGATTTTTTTTTCTTATATACGAGTACAATAATTTTTAAAGCTTTTCTTTTGCATGGCTATATTTACATTTACAGTGTACGTGTTCTTGGTGTTTGGGAGCATTGCCTTCGAATGGTTATGACTTGGGTCAAACATTCTGGGCTTCCTTCACAAACTCTTCCATTAGTTTGCTGATTGTTTTTGTGATCTTCTTCCTGACAGAACCAGTTTAACCGAGTCAGGTTTTTGAGGTGCCAGATTTTCTGTGGTACTGAGATTAGGGCTCTGTGATGGCCACTCTGAAACATTTGTGTCCAAGCTTTTAACTTCCTGGCTGGAGTTGCGTAAATGTTTCCACATAATGCTGATACAGTCCATTTTGTGATGATCCCTGCAGTAAAACTTTTTTTTTCTTTTTTTTCTCTCATTCAATCTTTATTTATAGAGGTTAGTCCCATTGAGCCTCGGGGACTCATTTACAATAAAAGACCTGATTTTAACAAAGAGTGATGACAGCAGTGGACAGTTATAAAAGAAAGCATATAAATTGAGAAGAACAGATGAAAGAAAATGTTATTAAGAAACGAAACTAAAACAGCTAGATTATAAGGCGGTGTAGAAAACTAAAAACAGGAACATGTCTGCGTTGGTTTTTCCCAGGAACTTCAGATGTTTGAAGCCACTTAGAGAGGTCAAGGTCGAGAGCTTCAGATCTTTTTGCAAGATATTCCAGGAAACAGGAGCGGAGTAGGAGAAGGCCCTTTTGCCAAGTTCAGTCCTCACTGAGGGAACACTGCAGGTAATAATGTCCTGAGAGCGCACGCTGTAGCTGCACTCACGCAGAGACATGTAGGAGAAGATGTATGAAGGCAGCAGACCAAGAAGTTATTTAAAGATGATAATGTACCAGTGGGAGAGTCTGTGTGAAGTTGATGATCAGTTAACCAGTGAATACAGGGTGCAGTGGTGGGTACGGTAGTTACAGCCAGTTATGAATCTTAGTGCACCGTGATAGCGTCCAACATCTGCAGGGTTCTTGTAGGAGCGTTCATGTAAATAATGTCATCGTAGTCAGTGGAGAGAAGGGAAGTCACAGTCACAAGGCGTTTCCTAGCATTCAGAGTTAGACAGGATCTATTTCTGATAAAAAGAAACCCAGTTTAACTTTCAGTTTCTTGACCAAGTTTTTCCACGTGAAGCTTAAAAGAGAGATGTGAATTGACCAAGATACCCAAACGTTTGAAGCAATCGACAAACTCAAAAGGGACAGCAGTCGTGGCGTTTGCTTCACTCTGTCCCTTTTGCTCGGACTGAATTGGGTAAGAAGGCTTTCGTTCACTCTGTTCCCTCTTCTTGGAACTTGCTACAAGAATCTCTGAGATTGACTGAATTCAACTAATTCTGTATTCTGATGCATGCTCATTACTCTAGGTAGAAAAATCTAAAAAAAAAAAAAAAAAGTTAAATCTGGTCATCTGGACATTCCAAAAATAAAAATTTTTTTTTAGAAACGTTTCGTCTTTCATCCGAAAGACTTACTCAGTCTGAGGATAATGTGAGCAGCTGGTTTTGGTTGTCAGCAGCAAAACTGGTTGATCCACTATGAGAAGGTGCTATTTATAAGACTGAGCTGAATACAGCACCTCAGACTGAGGAAGTCTTACGGATGAAAGACGAAACATTTCTACAATTTTTATTTTTTTTTGAATGTCCAGAAGACCAGATTCAACAAATTCAGTGCTTTTACATCCAAACTAAAAGTTATTGAGGCCAATTCAATGACATACCTGTTTTTATAGCTAGCTTGTTTTATAGTGCCTGTTTTTTAAATAGCTTGACATTTTCTTTTAACTGTGTAATATATTTTGTGTTGTATTTGTTTCTGCCTCTTGGCCAGGTCTCCCTTGAAAAACAGATTTTTAATCTCAATGGTTTTTTTTTTATCCTGGCAAAATAAAGGTTAAGTCTACATGTGTTTTGTGGACTTGGAGAAGGCATTCGACCGTGTTCCTCGGGGTACACTGTGTGGGGTGCTCCGTGAGTATGGGATTGGGGGCCCGTTGCTGCGGGCTGTTCAGTCCCTTTACAAGCGGTGCGAGTTCGGTTTGCATTGCCGGCAGTAAGTCGGACCTCTTCAGGGTGGGAGTTGGACTCCACCAGGGCTGCCCGTTGTCACCGATTCTGTTCATAACTTTTATGGATAGAATTTCTCGGTGAAGCCAGCTGGCGGAGGGTTTTCGGTTCGGTGGCCTCAGGATTCCATCTCTGCTCTTTGCAGATGATGTGGTCCTGTTGAAGTCATCGTGCCGTGATCTTCAGCTCTCACTGGAGCGGTTCGCAGCTGAGTGTGAAGCGGCTGGGATGAGAATCAGTACCTTCAAATCTGAGGCCATGGTCCTCAACCGGAAAAGGGTGGATTGCTCTCTCCAGATCGAGGGTGAGGTTCTTCCTCATGTGGAGGAGTTCAAGTATCTCAGGGTTTTGTTCAAGAGTCAGGGAAGAATGAAGCGTGAGATTGACAGATGGATTGGTGCAGAGTCTGCAGAATTGTGGACTCTGTACCGGTCCGTTGTGCTGAAGAGAGAGCTGAGCTGTAAGGCAAAGCTCTCTGTTTACCGGTTGGTCTACGTTCCTACCCTCACCTATGGTCACGAGCTCTGGGTAGTGACCGAAAGAATGAGATTGTGGATACAGGATGTTGAAATGAGTTTCCTCCGCAGGGTAGCTGGACTCTCCCTTAGAGGTAGGGTGAGAAGTGCGGTTATCCAGGAGAGAATTGGAGTAGAACCGCAGCCGTTGCTCCTCCTCCTCATCAAGAGGAGCTTTTTGAGGTGGTTCAGACATCTGGTAAGGATGCCCCCATGATGCCTCCTTGGGGAAGTGCTTTGTGCATGTTCGACTGGGAGGAGACCCCGGGGAAGACCCCAGGACTCGCTGGAGGGCTTATGTCTCTCGGTTGGCCTGGGAACGCCTTGGAATCCTCCCAGAAGAGATGGAAGATGTGGCTGTGGAAAGAGATGTCTGGGCTTCCCTGCTCAAGCTGCTGCCCCTGCGACCTGACTTCGGAACAAGCAGAAGATAATGGATGGATGGATGAAATAAAGGTTAAATAAAAAAAATAAATTTGAGAACAAAACCAGAGGAAGGACTGCTGGGACCGACCATGTTTGAAAGCAACATCCCTTTGGTTTTGTCAGCGTTTAGGACAAGTTTGAGACGGAACAAATCTGACTGGATGATGTCGAAAGAAGACTGTAAAAGCTGGAAAACCTTAGCAACTGTTTTAACTCGACAATAAACAACTGTGTCATCAGCATACAAATGTAAGGATGCATCAGGGATGCGCTGACCTACATTACCTATGTCGATTGTAAAGAGGGTGGGTCCTAAGACTACGCCTTGTAGTACACCATTGTTAACAGTTAGATAACTGGAAGAAGTACCATTAAGTTTAACACATTGCCTCCGATCTGAGAGATAGTGAATAAAGGTTTGTAAGCTCAGTCGTCCAGGTAGATAACAACAAAAAATGTTAAATCATGTCATCTGGACCAGTTTCTTTAAGGGAGAAACATTTCGTCTTCCATTTTTTAAGACTTCATCAGTCTGCGGCCTGCCAACCAGATCTGTCCCATACTGTAAGTAGCCTTCATTGCTGTGTTTCAAGGCTGCCTCCTGTTGGAATCTCAGAAGCAGGCGAAACACGCGCAAAATAACCCATCCATCCAAAACAATCAATCATCATGTATAACAATCAAATGTCTTAGGCCAGGTGGCTGAGAGATGGTGAACCAACCAGTGGTGTGAACCAGAGTTGTTGAGGTCGATGATTCTCTTCACCGATTTCTTTTGATCTTCCTATGACGCCACACAAAGACACAGAAGTTTGAGGCACGACTTAAAATGCATCCACAGGCGGGCCTCTAATTAACGCAAGTGCTGTCAACTAACCAATCAAAGGCTTCCAAAGCCATGACATCATCATCTGGGCTTTCCCAAATTGTTTAAAGGCATAGCATTCTTAGTGTATGTAAACTAGTAACTTTTAAAGAAAATAATAAAACCAGTTCTCTCTCATTATTCAGGTATTTAACAAACAGGTTTCGTTTTGTGAATTATAACTGACAAAACAGGTAAGTCTGATTTTAATGTCGGCGAGGAAAAAAGTTCCTGTGTATTTTTGTAGTGTATGTAAACATCTGCTTTCATCTGTACCCTCTACAGGTTATTTTAACACGTATCTTTTGAAATGTTTGGTGAGTGCAGTCGGGTGTGAAAAAGCTGCTGTTCTCGTTTCCACTGACAGATGGCGACCTAAGCGAGGGTCTGACCGGCTGCTGCAGGTTGGAGACTCCTCAGACCACCTGTCCACACCACAGAAGAAGAAAAGTCCCGACGGTTCAGGTGAGACACACACAGAGAACTTACAGTGTGAGTGTTTGTGAAGCGTTCGCTCTACCGTGATCCATTTTTCCTCTGTACGTTTTTCAACATCTTACAACCTTTGACTGCTCCTTTCACATTTTATTAATGATAATAATAATAATAACTTTTATTTATAACACACTTTACATTCATAACAGATCTCAAAGTACTACAGTGAGTAAACATCAGGTAACATCAAGACAAAAAGCAACCACAAAGAGCAACCGATTTTGTTCTGCTTCAGCTTCTTTCAGCTTCCTTGTGCAAATTTAAACTTTTTTCAGCTAATTTCAGCTTGTTATGCTCCTTTCAGCTTATTTCTGCAACTTTCAGCTTATTCCACTATTTCAGCTACTGTTTATGCTAATTTTAGCTTAATCAGCTAATTCCACATGTTTTCCGCTCATTTAAACTATTTTAAGACTAATTCAGCAAAAAAAATGTGCTCTCTACTTTTTAATGTTGATTTTAGCTTCTTTCTTCCTTTTTAGCTATTTTTAGGTGTTTTTTTTTTATTTCTGCTTTTTTCAGTAATAATAATACTTTATTTATAAAACCCTTTAAAACAACCACAGCTGCAACAAAGTACTGTACATATAAAATCAAGAACATTTAAACACATCAATAAAAAATAATAAAAACGGTGCAGAGCAAAATTCAGTGCGTGCTAAAAGCCCGGGAGTAAAAACGTGTTTTTTAAAAAGCGTTTTAAAAATGGACGGTGAAGGGGCTCATCTGATGGGAAGAGGATACCTTCAGACCAATTCCACTTTTTTGGGCTCATTTCTGCTTCTTTAAAACATGTTCTCTCTACTTCCTTCTGCCAATTTATGCTTGTTCTACCTTTTCAGCTAGCTTTTTTTTAAAGCCAGTTTCAGCTGTTTTCAGAAAAATGTATGTTCTTTGTGGTAATTTCTGCTACTTGCAGCCTATTTAACATCTTTCTTCTAATGCCAGCTTGTTATGCTCCTTTCAGCTTATTTCTGCAAGTTTCAGCTTTTTCTACTATTTCAGCTATTCATCCATCCATTTTCTTCCACTTATCCGGGGTCGGGTCGCAGGGGTAGCAGCTTAAGTAGGGAGGCCCAGACTTCCCTCTCCCCAGCCACTTGGTCCAGCTCCTCCGAGGGAATCCCAAGGTGTTCCCAGGCCAGCCGAGAAACATAGTCCCTCCAGCGTGTCCTGGGTCTTCCTCTGGGTCTCCTCCCGGTGGGACGTGTCCGGAACACCTCA